GCAAATATTGTGTTCATGAATAGTGAAAAGTTTTGGCAAATATTGTGTTCATGAATAGTGAAAAGTTTTGGCAAATATTGTGTTCATGAATAGTGAAAAGTTTTGGCAAATATTGTGTTCATGAATAGTGAAAAGTTTTGGCAAATATTGTGTTCATGAATAGTGAAAAGTTTTGGCAAATATTGTGTTCATGAATAGTGAAAAGTTTTGGCAAATATTGTGTTCATGAATAGTGAAAAGTTTTGGCAAATATTGTTATAATGAATAGTGAAACGTTTTGGGCAATATTGTTAATGAATAGTGAAACGTTTTGGCAAATATTGTTAATGAATAGTGAAACGTTTTGGCAAATATTGTTAATGAATAGTGAAAAGTTTTGGCAATTAAATTTGATTTAAAAATCAGTGGGCAGCACGTTTCCCAATTTTAACCCCCGATTTTATCGGCACGTTCCAAAATGAATATTATAAATGCGAATCACAAGTTGGATAATTTTTAAACCTTTAAAAGCGAATAACTCTAGTCAACAAGTTTTACTTCTCCCAGATATGAATCAAAAAATAATAAAGTTAGAGTATTTGTTTACAATTAGGTTAGACAAAGATGTTGGCCCCGGGCGGTAATAATCCTAGATACGCCTCTGCTCTGTAGTGAAATAAGTGGAGAAAAATCTATCCTAGCACTAGTTAAAGTACTACTGAATTTAATTGGCATTATATCAGGAATTTGTAGGTCACCAATGAATTTTTTTTTTAAAATTAACTTTCTTTAAAAAAAAACAAAACAAAACCCAAATAACTTTATTTTTTCAACCATTCTGTGTCTGGAAAAACATATTTAGATCTAGATGATAAATAGAACCCAACAGTCACCGTATGTCTGATCTGTAGGCACAAATATATAGGCATTTAGATATAATTTAAGCTCACTGTTTCAAGCTCAAAGTCATTTTCCTCTTACATACAGGGTAGCTGAAACACTTGCACACCGGGTAGATCAAACACTTACACACCGGGTAGATCAAACACTTACACACCGGGTAGATCAAACACTTAAACACCGGGTAGATCAAACACTTGTACACCGGGTAGATCAAACACTTACACACGGGTAGATCAAACACTTACACACCGGGTAGATCAAACACTTACACACCGGGTAGATCAAACACTTACACACCGGGTAGATCAAACACTTGCACACCGGGTAGATCAAACACTTACACACCGGGTAGATCAAACACTTACACACCGGGTAGATCAAACACTTACACACCGGGTAGATCAAACACTTACACACCGGGTAGATCAAACACTTACACACCGGGTAGATCAAACACTTACACACCGGGTAGATCAAACACTTACACACCGGGTAGATCAAACACTTACACACCGGGTAGATCAAACACTTACACACCGGGTAGATCAAACACTTACACACCGGGTAGATCAAACACTTACACACCGGGTAGATCAAACACTTACACACCGGGTAGATCAAACACTTACACACCGGGTAGATCAAACACTTACACACCGGGTAGATCAAACACTTACACACCGGGTAGATCAAACACTTACACACCGGGTAGATCAAACACTTACACACCGGGTAGATCAAACACTTACACACCGGGTAGATCAAACACTTACACACCGGGTAGATCAAACACTTACACACCGGGTAGATCAAACACTTACACACCGGGTAGATCAAACACTTACACACCGGGTAGATCAAACACTTACACACCGGGTAGATCAAACACTTACACACCGGGTAGATCAAACACTTACACACCGGGTAGATCAAACACTTACACACCGGGT